TATATATATATATATATAGGGGTTGGTTCAAATACTAACCAAGATTTTTGTGTTAACTTTGTTAACCAAGTTCAGCCAATCATATTCCATTTTTTCTTTAGGTTCACATATAACTCATATATTAATGACAAATGTAATTAAGTAATTTGTCATTTATGTAACTCCCAAATCATTAATTGGGAGTTACAAATATAAAAATCTCAATAATTGATGATTATATAATATTGATATTTTTTTATATGTGTTCATGTTTTGTAATTTCGATTTATTCTATCCATAATGATATTGATTTTGTAATTGTTAAAGAATTTCCGATTGTAAAGATTTCGATATCGTCTGAGTAATATGGATAAACCTATTGGAAAACAGATCGACAACAATGAGCATTCAAAGGTTAAAATCGTCTACAACTACAATCAGAATTCGAATTCATATGTAATTGTTAAAGAATTGTTCACAAGTGTTCATATTGTGTTAATATATACACTAGCTGCATATCTCAATATTGGCTTGCTCCTGAATGTGTTCATAATGAAGAAATTATTGTTCACAAACTGTTCATATTGCGTTCATATGTATACTAGCTGCATATCTCAACATTGGCTTACTCATGAATGTGTTCATAATGAAGAAACTATTGTTCACAAACTGTTCATATTGTGTTCATACTTTTTTTTATTTATTTACTTTCATGTAACAACTATTCTTATTATATGCATATTGTGTTCATAAATGCTATACAGTTCAAGTTCATATATATGTCCATTTTTGTTCGTATTTGACACAATGATTCATATATGTGTGTGTGTTTTCATATAGTTCTTACATTAACAAAAATAAATTAATAAAAATAATAAGATTTTTTGATTTTGTAACTCCCAATTAATGATATGGGAGTTACATAAATTTTTTTTTACCTAAATACCCTTTTCTTCTTTGTTCACATATGTTTTTTGAAATTGTAAATTTAAAAATTTAATTTTTTTATCATGATTAATCACAACCCTTTATTGTAAGAATCAATGGTCAAGATTGGTTAACAAAGTTAACACAAAAATCTTGGTTAATATTTGAACCAAACTCTCTCTCTCTCTCTCTCTCTATATATATATATATATATATATATACACGAAAGATTGTATGAAAAAGAGAGTAAAGATGAAAAGCGTAAGAAGCGATATGGACCCTTGATCACCTTTAATTTCAAATCTACTTATGAATCGTGCTTAATACATGGTTTAATCTAGTGCATCTCATTCTAATGTGAATCCAAGGGTATAGATCATTTCTTACGCTCCTCACCTTAACTCTTCTCACTCGAACTCAACCCTATATATATATATATATATATATATATATATATATATATATATATAAACTAAA